CGCGGCGGCGGCGGGTAGGGGCGCGGCGCCGGCGCTGGCGGTGGACGGCGCAGCAACGCCGCAGGAGGTGGAGGAGGGGGAGCAGGATGACCAGGCTTTCCATGAGTGAGGCAACCTGACCAGGCTGATCGTGTTGTCCTTGAGGGGTGGTTGACGTCTCAGACCGCTGACGCAGGTTTTGTCTGCAGGCTGACGGCCGCAGCGGCCGCAGGAGGCGCCGCCGCCTCAGCGGCAGCCGGCGTACACAACGCATGCACAGTCCAATTAAATCACATGGCGTCTATGTCGAAAGCCATTCCTTATATTGTCGAAGGTCAGCCTCTGCGGTGTGTCCGCTTCCCGCAGGTGTTTCAAAACTGTGTTGCTTGTAAGATGCAATTTCGTGAAATCTGTGTCCCAATCTGTGACCATGCGCAACACTGTGTGCCTCATGCCTATCGTGCTCTGACCCTGCGCCTGGACTGGCTGGTGGCTGGGGCACGAGGGCGGTGGCGCGGTGACGAGCGCTCCAGTGTGGTGTGGTCATGTGGCCTGGTTGTGGTGGGCCCACAGCGTACGCATGTACATGGCACCCTTGCCAAAGCCGCAAGCGTCCAACTGCTACGAGACAGATTTTGCACATACAGACTCCGGCTGCCGTCAACGCCAAACATCGATTGGCACTTTGGCAGCAAAAGAGGGGCAGGAGTGGCACTAGGTATGATAGTGCCACTCCTCTAAGAGGTCACTTGCAGGGTCTTAGAGGCTGATCGCGAAGTACAGCACTCCATTCAGATACAAATAAATTTATTATTCATATTGCGTTCGAGGGAAGTGCACTCGGGGTACACGGGATCGCATCTAGACCCGTTATTCGCTTAATTGTCAGCTGTCGTGGCCAAGGTGTGAGAATATCAACGACGGCAAGCATCTAGCCTTTCGGCCCAAGCCACGCCTGAACCGCGGCGTGCTGCTCGGCGGGCGGGCGGCGCAAATCCGTCAGAGTGCAGTCGCGCGTCGTTGGCACGAGTGCGGCAGGATGCTGTACGACACCTACAATAGCCCGTTTATAGAGCTGCAAACACCGTTGACAGCATGGTGAGAACCCATGCTGCTGCAGTCGCTTGAACCAGCTGGCGCTGCTCCTGCGCTGGTGGTCAGCTCGAGGTGTCGGTGCGGTTGGCGCCGCGCTGGCCGCGTGTGATGCATGCGAGAGTGCGTATCTGCAGGCACGCTCATCGCATGTCGCCGTACGCGCGTCGTCGCATGCATGTGCCTGCATCAACAGGGAGGTGGTTAAGATGGTGGTGATGCTGCCAACAGTGCCTGTACGAATCGTCCTCATCGCATTCTGCGTCATCGGCGTCGCGATATGCAACTCGATCGCAATCGCCGGCTGGTGCGTCAAGAACCCTTAGCCCATCAGCAGGGGTGCATGATCCGGGAATGGCAGTAGCAGTGTCGTTTCAGGCGGCGGCGGGGCGGCGCAGCACGCCTGTTGCTGAGAGTTCGGTCACTTTCCTGGCCCCCGCGCGGCAGCACCTGGTGTGCGAGGAAACGTCCCCGGCAGACACCGCCGCCTTGCCGTCGCCCTTGCACCCTTTGCAGTGACCTGGACAAGCCGCTGCCGAGGTGGCGCCGGCGGTTGGTGGAGCTCAGCTCGCAGGTGGGCTCCGAGGCACTGCGAAGCACCAATGTTGTGGGCAGCTGCACATCCATGTGCGTGCCGCGCCTGGTGGTTGACCAAAAAGACTGGGAGCATATGGAGTCATGGCAGCATGCCCACGGGCAGCTAGACTCTGTGATGTTCAAACAGGGGCGCACGCAACCGTGTGCAGCATGCACTGCGTTTGCCACCCACCGCACACCCACCCAAGAGGCCACCTGCGTGCCCAACAGGATACCCTGCACACCCCATACCTCCCACAGGGCTTCAACGCCGCAATCCTGCGCTGTGCCGGGTTTTGGTGGCCGCGCGTCAAGGGGCTGCAGCACTGGGAGGAGGGCAAGCGCATCGGAGCGGTGCGCCGGCCGCTGCGCTTATGTTCGAACTCACTCCTCCGGGCTGCTGGTCCTGTTGCCCATGGATACGCGTCCCGTCGGGTCCAAGCCGTGCTGCCATGCCGAATCAAGTGGGGCGGACGTGCTGCAACCCTTTCAAGATGTTGAGACCTCCAAACGCTGACGTCATCCCTCTGGACCCTACGCCCTCTCAGATCGGGATCTTCAACCATGTGTCGTACTGCGACGCATTTGTCATCGTCTGGGCCCTCTGCCCGGCCGGCCTCACCTTTGCGTTCACGACAGACATCCCAGTCCTGGGCAAGGGCATCCGCGCCCTGCAGGTGGGCCCCCAACAGCCGCGTGCCGTGTTCTGCATTGGAACACCGTGATTGCCGCGGGTGGCACCAACTTGAGAAGTTGGGAGATGCCTTTGCAGAGGCTCGCGCCTTATGGGAGCTCCTGTCCTCCAAACGCTCAAAAAACCTCCCGCATCGTTTAACCTTGTCCTGCCGTGCGTGTGCTTGTGCCAAACCGTGTCCTGCACTTGTCTTTGTTTGTGTGCATGACAGAACATATACGTGCCTAAGGAGAAGGACAAGGACAAGCAGCGGGTCAGCATGGTGGACGCACTCAGGAAGAGGTGGGGGCGCACATGCGCATCCCATGCACCCACACTGGGGGGGGGGGGTAGGCCAGGAGCCTATGCGCCGCTGTTGCGGTCAGCGGTGTGTGGAACCCTGTGAGGCATAGACCGTATGGATACGTGTGGAGGGAGCAAAAGGCAGGAGGATATGGATTCATGGGATTGCTGAGGGTCGCGGGCTTGCTGCAACTGCCTGTATCAGAGCAGTCGAGGGAATGTTTGCGCAACTGTCACAGCACTTGGAGCAACAGCCTGCCCAGGGCCATGCGCCTTTCCGCACGCCGCAATGAGTTTCCTGTAACCACTTATAAACCCCCGCAGGGCCTCCACCCCTGGCATGCCGCCGCTGGTCATTGCACCAGAGGGCACCCTGGCGGATGGCCGCTGCCTGCTGTCGTTCAAGACGGGCGGCTTTGTGGCCGGCCTGCCGATTGTGCCGATCCTGTTCAGGTGAGGGAGCGCTTGATGGGTAGGGCACAAATTTGGCTTTGCGGCGTTTCAATGCACTGTGGTGGCAGCCAGCCTGCCTTTCTAATATGGCGTTCAGAAGCAGTTTGAAACCAGTCAGCCTACACCAACCATCCTTCACAGACACAATGATAAGGTCTCTGGTCACGTGTGCAGGCCAGCCTCCGGCCTGAACACGCCGGCCATCCCCTATCCCCCCCCCAGTCACATCATCATCGTGCAAACTTTTGACCCGAGGAATGTCTTGTTCCTTGCTTTGCCCATCGCCCTACACAGGTACAAACTCACCGGCCACAACCCGGGATGGGGCGTCATCCGCCCCTACTGGCACCTGCTGCGGCTCATGACTCAGGTGGCGCGGGGCGGGTATCACCAGGGTCCGGGTCGTGCACAGCAGCTGGCCTCGGCCCAGCAAGGAGCTGCGGAACAGTGGTCTAACACTCGCCACTGCAAACCCGGCATGATGTCAACATGATGTCACAACAATGACGTTTCGTCCCTTGCACCCCTTGTATTGCTCCCCCTTGTCACCATCCATACCCAAGTTCTACAACCATGTCGAGGTGGAGTGCCTGCCCGTCTACCACCCCAGCGAGCAGGTGACTACGGGCGTGCAGCTATCGCGCGCAGCACACAACACGCGTGCACAGCACACAAGGGGCGCGATTTGCGCCTGAAAATGATCTGAGTGGTTTTGCAGGAGCATGCAAAATTGTTGCCAATTTCGCTTCCACAAATGATGCCAGACACGGCTCAAGCGCCGCTCGCTGCCCGCTTCAACCTCAGCAAACCCCCCTCCTGCACACACGGTTCCAGGCAGCTCCTTTCCCTTCGACCCCCGACCTCACCCCCAGGAGCGTGCCGACCCGCAGCTGTACGCGGCCAACGTCCGCAAGCTCATGGCCAAGCACCTGGACGTCCCCATGGTCGACCAGGTCTGGTGGGGGGGTGGGGCTGCGGTGGGGACACAGGGTCCGGCTTGCCTGGAGTTCCTCCAAGCTAGCTGTCAATGGGGCTGTCGCTTGTCAAAGCACCGTGGTGAATCCCGTACATAGCCATCATGGGGGATGGGGGAAGCGGTGTGCCCCACAGGGAGCGCGTGGGCCCCTGTGACGTAGCCGTCGTGGCGGAAAAATTCCCTCACATTTCTTGGTGCTCATGCGCGCGGGATGATGGGCGGCGTTGATGTGGCTCCTGTCCCTGCAACGGCCGGGCCCATACCGCAAAGTTGGCATGGCGGCGGCCTGCCATGCCCTCTGTCGATGCACCTGACTGTCCCTGACCTTCCCACCACCACAACCCCCGTTGTCGTCGTCCGCAAAACCCTCCTCCGCTGTTACCATGGTATTTTGACAAACACCCCAGGACCGCTCCATCGCGATGGCCCTGGAGGCTGCGGGCGTCAAGCCCAGCTACGACGGCCGCAGCGTGGTGGCGCCCCCCGGGGTGCTGGACGCCAAGGGGCGCCTGGACCTCACGCCCTGGCTGGAGAAGGCGGAGGGGAAGAAGTCGCGGTAGCGATGCAGGGCCGTCACTTGGCATGTGCCGACGGCGGTCAATTTAAATTGCTTACTCGTGGCGGCTGTGCGGTGCACCTTTGACGCTGTGCTCCTGCTTTTCAGAAGGAAAACTGGGCTACGCAAACCGGACTTCAGAGCAGGCACCCATCTATCTTTGCTTGGGTGGCTGCATGCAGATCATTTTTGTGACACCAGGATTGCACAGAGCCTTGGCCTAAAAATGGGGGGACGTCTGTGCGCTGCGACCTCTATACGCTTGTACTTGAAAGCCCCGCGGCACAGATTTGACGCCTGCCATTTCCACGGCTCTCAAGCTGGGGCGCTCTGGATCACATTTGCATACTGTATCCTGGCACCCTTCAACAGAGAATGCGTCAATCAACAACGCTTCCCTTGTCCTAAGATGCAGACGAATCCACGATGCAGGCGTGTGAATTGATGCCAACATCCAGAGACTTGGGGGCTTGTTGCATACAACATGGCAACAGACATACAAAGCCATCAAACCTGCGGCACATACTTCCCGCACTGCTGTGGCACTGGTGTTATGCAGAGCCACACAGCTGACCACTGTCAGCTGGTGCGTCACACTCACTCCATCCAGGGAGGTCCTCCGGTGCTGATCGAGAGGTCGGCGGGGCGGGTGACCGGGGTCAAGCCCAAAGTCAAGGCATGGGGCGGGGGCGACGGGCGACGAGGCCTCTGGCACTTGGACTGCACGCGTGAGGGGCTCAAAAAGGGCCAAAATGATTTACATGTCCATGTTACGAGAGTCACAGGCACCACATGCCCAGCACCCAAGTTCGTCCCATGGCTGGCGTGCGGGCCGCCCAGTTTTCCGGCTCGGCAGAGCCCTGCCGACTGGCCTGGGCAGTCGGGAGGCGGCGGCGCGCGGCGGCGGCGGCCGTCCATGCCGAGGTATCGTGTCGTTTTGTATGTTTTGTCGTCGTTTCGGAGCATTCGCCATGAACATGTGGCCCTGTGACGCTGAGAGTGGCGTCAATGCGGGTCAAAGCGAAGTTCCCGTGCGTCCGCGGGAGGCTCGAGCCTTGCGCGCGCGACTAAGCGGTTTTTACGGGTGACCTTGAAGGCTTAGCACCGCGAGCGTGCTGGGAAAGCAAGATCGTGCTCGCCGCACGACAGCCTCAGCTCCGAGACGCTCGCTTCGCCGTCCAATCGCGTCCAAACAGACGTCCTGATGTTATCATATGCGTTCAGGCCACGCGCGGACCCCCGGCTGGCGACACCCCACGCTGCCGCGCCCCGCCCTGCCGCCCCTTGCCAGCGGCCGAATCCGAGCCGGAAAACGAGGCGGCCCGGGCCGGCCCGCAGGAAGCGCCGGCCGCGCGAGGCGTGCCGCCGCTCCGCTGCGCCCCAGCAATTCTGAATAAAGATTATGGTGATGGCGGAGCACCTCAAACGCGCGTGGGAAGAGCGATCTGCTGAGTTTGCGTGCACCCACCTTGCCGAGTTGCATGCGCTGGTTGGCGCGGCAGGCGGGGTCCTCTTACGACGCCCCCTTGGTGGTTTACAGCGGCACGGGGCCCTGCGAGGAAAATTGGCTGCAGCAGCTTAAGCACGCGTCCAACACTATCCCAAGTGCAACTACATTGCACCAACATGGTTGGCGTGTGTGAGGGTTGCAAATCATACCAAGCTTTCTCCCCTGCAAAGTCACAAGGGGAAGGGTGAGGGCAGCGCGCCACACGCGCACCATCAAAAGGATAACAAAGCGGCAGCTTTGTGGCATGTTGCCGGAACTTAAGGTGCAGTGACGCTGGGTGGCTGCTGGAGTGCAGTAGCTGCTTTTGGTCCCAGGCAGTGGTTTTGCTTTCTCTCTACATGCGGGGTGCAGCCACGCACGTGCTGCAGCGCACGCACGTTATCGGCTTCCCTATTTCGCAGTTGTCGCTATGCGCAGCCGCCAGTGACGGGTGGCGGATACCTCTCGTATCAATCCGCTCTGCTGCCAGTGACGGATGGCGGATACCATGCAGCATGCCTTTGCCTCGTGCGCTGCATTGAGCAGGGTGAATGCAGTCTACAGGCTGCCATGTAATGTTATTACGTCTCCAATCAATGCCTGAGGGATTACTGAGCTCTGCCCATCCAGTCCAGCGGGTGTGTCGAGTGACGCAACCTGCAATAGAGGGGCCATGACAACCGACCACGACGAATATAAGTCGAGCACTTCGTACATCCAAAGCATTTCCTGCAGGGTATTATAGTCCGTCTCTTGATATCCCCGATCTTTTGAGCAAGCAATCGGAGATCTTGCTGGTCACTTGCGCGTGATACTGCTCGCCAAGCAGGATGCAACAGAAAGCAGTGGATGTAGCCATCGTGGGAGGCGGGCCTGCAGGCCTCGCACTGGCGCGCGGCCTCGAGCGTGTCGCACCCTCGCTGCATGTCGAGGTGCGCTGCTTGGGCACTGTCACTGCCGCCGCCCGCCCTGCGCTCGGCGCGATCTATGCATCTGTCATAGCTGCACCTTGAGCACTCTGCTGCTTGCCTTTCACTTGCCACTGGCCCCGGTGACGGCGATGGCCAACTAAGAGTCTATGATCCCAAGGTGGTTCAGGTATACACTACTCTCATTTCACTCCCTGCCTGCCGTGCACCCCTGCCAGGTGTTCGAGCGCGCCCCGGGCCTGCACATGCGCGGCGCGGGCGTGGGGCTCAACCCCAATGGCACGGCCGCCCTCAGAGCGATCGACCCTGAGTTGGCGGAGCGCGTCGCGGCGACGTCCCTCAAGCGCCTGACCGTGCTGGTGGAGGACATGAAAGTGCGGCCTCAGTCACAGGGGACAGGTTTGACCGCGTTTGACTGCGCTGCAGGGATCGCATTTCTGTAGCAAAACTGCACACGTAGCGCTGTGCGTGAGCGGTTTCGCTCTAAGGCCCCCCACCGTCGCCGCGCTCCAGCGGGCCTTGCTGCCCCTCGGCGGCTGATGCTCTCACTGCAACCTCCTCCACTTCACGGCGCGAGCAATCAGGGCGCACAGATGAGCCGCCAGGAAATGGCGTTTGGCGCAGAAAAGCCTCCCACCCAATTCATGGACGCTTTGTTGCCGTGGTGGGCCTTGAACAACAAAGCAATCATCTGGGGCGCTCTATGCACGGCCGCCCTGCCTGTATGCCTGCCGCGCTGACGCACCGCGCATGCGAGCGCATGCAACATTTGGTCGCAGCGCACGGTGCTTTTGCGCATGTGCATGACCTGCTGATTGCGATCTCATGCGCACGCGCAAAGGCCCATTGCTCTCTGCCCCTGGCCCCCAAACCAAACCAATGGCAAGCGCTTTTGACACGTCGTTTGCGCTGGGTGCCGACAACCAGGTATGCCATGCAGCGGGTGCTGGCAGAGTCCTTGACTGACGGAGCCGTGCAGTACGGCAAGCGGTTTGCCGGCCTGGCCATGGAGCCAGGGCCGGGCGGCGCCAGCCTCTTGACGTTTGAGGTGCGCTGGCTGGGCGTGACGATTGAGAGGGGCTTGGGGGCCGGCTGGGCGCCTGCGGGGCTGGGGTATGAGGCTTTTCGAAGCAACAGTTGTGTGTCTGCGAAAGTAGCCCAGCACAACGGGTCGTTGTCGGCCGCTGCTTTGTATGCGGGCAATGCGCTGTACTTGATGATTTGAGCAGCACTGTGCGCGTCCTGCAAGCCCAGAGCACCTCAAAGCGCACACGCGCGCGCCGCCTCAAACGCGCGGCGCTCCCGCCCCGCAGGACGGCGACAGCGTGGCGGCGCGCGTGGTGGTGGGCGCCGATGGGCTGCTGTCGCGGGTGCGGGAGGCGTGGCTTGGAGACGGCGGCCCGGCGTTTGACTCCAGGGTGATATTCAGGTGGGGCTGATTCCCACAGACTGCACAACGCCATTGGCTTTGCCCTGCGATTGAGGGCGTGCATGGCTGCGTGCATCGAATGATGGCTCACTCCTCGGGTGGGGCCGTCGGCAGCAGCTGCGGCCTTGCCTGCCTGATCGTGGGGCCTCCCGCTGCGATGCGTCGTTGCAGCCTGGGTCTGCAACAGGGCGGCCTCTGCATGACCAGCAGCATTTCTTACCCAAGGGTCCGCTTGATGGTTCCCTGCGCCTGGCGTGCTCCAGGGGCATGGCCGCAACCAAAGATGTGGAGCGGCTGCCCGGGTGGGCGGACGTAGATGCGCGCATCATCCCAACTGGGGCTGACGCCATGAACATGGTCTACAAGGTGGACAGCCGGCTGGGCTGGTGTGTGTACGTGTGTGCGTGCGTGCATGTGTTTGTGTGTGTGCGCATGCGCCTGGCGTGCGTGTGTCACACGTGTTGTTTATAGCTTTTCATGTCTGTTTTCTGGTTTCTGAGGCACTGTTGGCGCCTTGGCTGTTGATTGGTTGGGGCAGGACGCTCGCCAGCTTGTGGTGGAGGTCGAGGCTGTCCCGCGCCCCCCCCCCCTCCGCCCAGCCCTGCCACCAACACCCCCAACCCACTCGCCGCACCCCCGCAGCTGCATGGCGGCATGACGGTGTGGGCTGTCAACATGAGCTATGATGCTGCCAAGGTGCCGGGAACAGCGTCTCCTCCAATAATAAGGAGGACGCTTGCACATGTCGCTCTGCTCGTTCAAAGAACTGCTGCGGCTCGCCAGGCCTCATGCACACAAGCCCCATGCGTACACTCCCCTGTTCCCTGCCACCTTCTCATGTCAGATCATGAACAACCGTCCCAACCCCTCAACACCCCACCCATGACAACGTGTGATGTTACTGCGCACCCCCCAGGAGTGCGGCGTCAGCTACTCGCCCTACGCCAAGGGCGCCGCCTCCCGAGCCTCCCTCATGGAGCCGGAGGCGGCGGGGGCGGCCTGCATGGCGGAGGCCAAAAAGCTTTGGGACCGCCTGCCGCCGGCGGTGCAACAGGTGAGCTCTATTGGTGTGTGTGCAGGCGGGGCTGACACGCGGGATATTGTCTGTAAAGGGGATTTCGGAAGGCAGGGGACCATCTGCGTCACAAGTTTTTGCGAGGATCTGGTGCATGCTGGCGAGAGCCGAGCTTTCCCCTTGTCAACGTTTTCGATGTTCGGTGAGTGCAAGGGGTGCAGCGGAAATCAGGCATGTGTGGGGCCCAGGCGGTCAAAGAGGCGCAGGCGTCAGGAGCCAGGCAGACGCAAATTAGAATACTCGCCAAGTCGGGGGGGTCCAGGTTCAAATTGAGTTGAACAAAAGCACTACAGCACATGGCCTGATTGCGCATCAGGCACCATGAGTGGTGTAGGTGAGCAAGCCCTAGGGCGCCTCACCGCCTTAAACATGCCAATCGACCACTTCTGATCAACCACCCGTCACACACCCGCGGCTTGGCATTTTGACGACCTCATCCACCAACTGCCCCTGGATCAGGTCTTGGAGGTCGCCCAGCTGTCGACAGCCGCCATCCACGGGGACTAGTGCGGCCGGCTGAGTCGTACGCAGGGTCTGCACTGGGTCTCGGGCCCGTCACACTCGGTGCGCGGGCGGAAGCCCCGGGTCGTGGCGGTGTTGTCCATGCAGACAGGCGCCCGCGGTCCGCGCAGCGGTGGGCACTCGTCCAGTCCTTGACGGTCAGTGCTTGCGGCCAGCAAATGCGCCCTGCACCGTCGGTGTTCGCTGCTCACCTTCCACTTGCGCTCGCGCTCCTCCGGCGCGCTCCCTTTGTGCCCTGCCGCGCCAGTGGGTGACGCGTTCCACCCCCTCAAGGTGTCGGGGGTGGGCGCAAACCTGGCGTTTGAGGTGGGCGCCCCGGGCTGCCATGGCCCTGAAGTGACCGCCGTGTCCTGCGGCTGGCGGGGGGCCGGCTATGCATGGACAGGGTGGTGGCGTTGAGGCGAGGAGCCGCGAGGCGCCCAGCGCCGCCCGCACGCAGCTGGGGAGGGACGGGCGGCGTGCCTTTCTTCACACCAAATGTCGACGCCTCCGCTGTGCCAGCTCACCATGCATGCTTTTGGGCGCCACCGCCGCGCCGAGCAGCCCTTGCCATGCACCCCTCGCCCCAACACCCCCACCATCCTTTAAATGAACCCCCCCCCACACGCACATACACTGCAGGACGCGGCGGTCCTGGCGCACCACCTGGCGGCCGTGGGGCCCTGCGAGGCGGCGCTGCGCGCCTACGAGGCGGACCGGCTGCCGCGGCTCAAGGCCATAGCGGAGTTCAACATCGACCTCATGTGAGCCGCGCGCGCCCTGCGGCTTTGAGCGGTCCATGTGCTTGTGCTGTTAGGCCAGGGATTATGCGCGTGAGAGGCATGTGTGCACTGCATGTGCACTGTGCGCCGCCGCTCTGCTTGCCCCTTTTCAAATGCCAACCCTTGTGCGCTTCGGCAACTCTCCAGCTCTCTAGCTTGACCACCTGCGCAAATGAGCTACGGTCAGCGCCCTCCAATGCCTCTTCACCCTGTGTACCTGGCAACAGGAACAAAATCACAAAGGCGGCCGGGGAAGAGTACCTGCAGCTGAAGGAGCGCCAAACGGAGTTTGAGCGCACTGTCATGTTCAAGTTTGACCACCCCTGCACACGCGGCGGCAGTAGCACCAGGGTCGGCACGGCGCTGGCCATGTGAAACGGAAAATTGCAGCAAAGCGCAACCTCCTTCTTGTCGCCCTATTTCCGGATGGTTTAGTTGCCGGTGTCAACCAGTGTCAAAGTAGTCTTCATTTGCATTGATGATGGACTGGGCTACATCCCTTGGTCTATGCAGGTTGGTTGTTGTGGCACACACGGCTCCTGGGGGCCCTGCTGTGCTGGCAACACCCGCTTCCGTCCATCGCTGCTGTTTTGCCGCTACTCTTCATGCCCACATGCGCCCGCGTTTGCGCAAGGATCGCCCGATGCGGACCGCGTCTGCGTGCACCCAATAGTATGTCTGCCAGCCCCAACCAACCAACCAACCAAAGAGTGCTTGCCGTGCATGCGCTGTGGGTGAACTTGTCGCCGTCCGATCTCTACCCGAGCAGTGTGGTTTGGGTTCAGGCGCCCATATTGCATGCCAGTCTGGTGCTCTTGTGGTATTTGCACGCACGCAGCACCTTGCTGTTCCTTGCTTGACCTGCTTCTTTGACCCACAGAGACAGCGTCACTGATGCTATGCTGCTGACTGCTGTGTGTCTGACTGCACCGCGTCAACTATTTTGTGGCCCACACAGACCGCGAGTTCCACCGCACCAATGAGATCAGAACGGATTACCATAGGGGCGGTGTCATGCGTTGAAACTAGTACCAAAAGGACTGTGAGCTTTTGATATCTGGAACCACCGCAGCTTCTTATGCTGAGGTCGCTTTGCACTTTGTAAGCTATGGTGGTCGAGCGCTCCATACCACCAGCAGGATCCTTACTATACAGTGGTACTGGGCAGGGCAGCTGCCCAGCTGCTACCCACGACCAGCTCCGGCGCGCAGCCAGCTCGAAGCTGTCAGCCGCTCGCCTGCCCGGCTGCCGACAGGATCTCTGCGGCCTTTCAAGGACCTGCCCGCGAGCGCAGGGGCAGCTGCTCGGCCTCCTTCTCCCCGCCGCGTTTTGGCGGAAAAGCCTACGCTGTGGTAGCCAGTGTCTGATCACCCTTCTGGAGACCGCCTTTGAAATGAGGAGAGGCCCTGGGGCCAGCCGGGTCAAACGGCAGCAGGGGCCCTGAATCCTCCAGAGCGGCGCCTTCGAGACGAGACTGCCTCAGCAGCCGCTGCACACCCTGCCACACGGCTGGGCGCGCGTCTGTGTAGCCTCCCATCACAAACAGAGTGGGGAGGATCCACCACGCCCGTCCGTCAAATGCAGTGGGCTGCCGCAAAAAGGAACTGCGGGTGGAGCGGCAGATGGAGGGGCACGGCGGGCAGGCGGAGAAGACGTAGGGGATTGTCTTAAACGAGAAAGGTGTGTGTTGTGCAGAGTCAGCGCCAGTCAAGCTGGCGCACAGCGGCAGGCGTCGCAACGCAAGCGATGAGGGAGCGGCGTGCGAACTGCCCCGAGCGCATGCACGCCGCACGGCCGAAGCGGCACCCGCGCCACCTGGCCGCCCACCACGCAGCGCTCAACGACTGTGGGGCCCTGCCACCCCCTTGCAGGCTACCCCAGCCACGGCTCACCTGGTTGAAGGACACCTTGATGGTGCCGGAGCGCGTCGGGTCAAACGCCTGGCGTGGTGGGAAGCGTGCGCGGCGGTGACGTCAGCGGGGGCAGAGCGGTCGTCGACGCGTGCTGCAA